GTGCCTTAAAATTCGAGATAGCATCTGATTCCACAGGTTAAGTGTTCAGTTGTCCAATACTGACCCCCACCGTCCACTTCAGATGCCAGTCCAAAGTCCAGGTTGTTACCTGTGCTCCTCACCACTGGCTGTAGGTCAGGGATTTCCACAACTCCCTCCTTGGGTTCAATCAATCTGCAAGAGTGTCTCAGAGTGAGGCTGGTGGAAATGGGGTCCTTTCACAGTCACAAGAAAAGCATTTCCAGGGAGGTTGAGGTGTTGTGGTAAGATGGGATAGAAATGGAAGGCTGCCCCAGTTTCCTGATTTCTCATCTCCATCTGTCCTGCTGTGGAAAAAGTCCAGCCTTGTCTTTCTCAGGCCCAGAAACAAAACGAGTGTCCAGAAATTCTGTTCCATGACAAGGCTTAGAGTTCAGTTTAGTCTCTGTCCCCATCCAGCTAGCTCAGTCTGTTCCTGTGGCTGGCGCTATACCCAGGCCCATGTTTGGAGACCCCGAGGCTGCTGTGGAGAGTGTGTGCCCGCACAGGCTAAGCTTGTGTTATGAGCAAGTGAGCTTTGTTAAGCTTGGATCACATTATCTTGGGCTTGGGAAGGACTAGGCACTTTCTCAAACTAACCAATCAATTTCTCAATCCTTCACTCGTTTCTGAGGAGTCCTCCCTCGAACCCATCCATCTTCTAGATCATCCAGGGTTCTGTGTCCCTTATTCAATCGATCCCCTTTCCAGGCTAGGCTCCTCCCTTTGTGATCACCGTCTTGGCTCCTGTGGCGTATGCCGCATAGCAGAGTCACCTCCCTCTATGCCACCTTGTCTTCCTCTAGACAAGTGCCCAGCAGAGGAATTCCTCCGGCTGTTTTGTATTCCTTTCCCAGTAATGACTGGTAAGGATTCTCCTCCCTGCTGCTGGGAGTGGGTCCCAAGGACAGAGGATGCAGTGGTCCCCTGGGGAACCTATGAATGCAGCAACTGCTTGCTGAAGCAGATTTATTGTGGGATTCAGCCTCCTAGTAGATTAGGCTTCTGAATGTCTGATTCTCTTTGCTTCCTTCCTTTATTAATATCCAGCTACCTATGCCAACAGGAGAAACATTTTATTTACGGGATTACAGGTTTATTATAAAAGGATATAACTCAGGAACACCCACATGGAGGAGGTGTATAGGACAAGGCATGTGGGAAAGGTGCAGAGCTCCCTGGTCCTCTCTAGGGGCACACTCTCTTCAATCTCCACATATTCACCAACCCAGATGCTCTTTGAACCTCATCCTTTTAGATTTCTATGAAGGCTTCATTACATAGGTGTGATTGGCAAAATCATTGGCCATTGACGATTAATTCAACTTCCAGTCTCTCTTCCTTCCATGGAGATCAGGAGGATGGGACCGAAAGTACCAACCCTACAAACATGGTTGGTTGCTCTGGCAACCAGCTCCCATCCTTAGGTGTTTTCCACCAGTCACTTCATTGACATAACAAAAGACACCTTTATCAAGATCACACAGAAAATTCTGTGGGTTTTGGAGCTATGCACCAAGAACCATGAATAAAGATCAAATATATATGAGAATAAATCACAATATCACAGTAGCCTTATCAGATTTGGTTCTTTCACTTACAAAGATGCGTTTACATTTTCTCCTTGTCTTGTTGGGACTACTCAGTAATTTGACTTCAGTTATTCTAATAAGTGTTGCATTTAATTGTTAAATGTTGCATTTAATATGCATTTTCTTAAGGAGCTGATATTGAGCATCTTTTCATGTTTATTTACTTTCTGTATATGTTTTTTTGTTGAGGTAAAAGTTAAGATCTTTTCCCAATTTTTAAATTGAGTACTTTATTTTCTTACTGTTAAATTTTAAGACTTTTTTTGGTGTGTGTATATTTTGGACGACAGTCCCTTGTCGTATGTGTCTTTGGCAAATATTTTCTGCCATTCAGCAGCTCACCTTCTCTTTTGCTTGACAGTTTTCTTTCACAGAGCAGAAATTTGAACTTTTAATGCAGTCCAACATTCAATTCTTTTCATAATAGATGAAGTCTTGGTGTTGTATCTAAAAAAGTCATCACCAGAACTAAGGTTGTCTATCTTTTTTTTTTTAAGGTCTCTTCTAGCAGTTTTATAGTTTTGCATTTTACATTCAGGTCTATGATCTACTTTAAGTTTTTTTTGTAAAGGATATAAAGGTCTGTGATTTATTTATTTATTTATTTGCTTTGGATGTCCAGTGGTTCCACTCCCTTTTATTGAAAAGACTGCTTTCTCCATGAAATTGCCTTTCCTCCTGTGCTGAAGTCCCATTTAATATATTTATGTGTGTAATTTCTGTTCCACTGATGTATTTGTCTATTCTTTGCCAACACCATACTGTCTTGATGACTGTGATCCCACAGTAAGCCTTGATTCAAGGAGTGTCCATCTTCCAACTTAATTTTTCTCTCTCAATATTGTGTTGACTAAGAACTTCTAACATTTTTATGTCCCATGTGTCCTTTAACATTAATGTAAAAATATAATGAAAATATTTGAAAGAATATTAACTTGTAGTAAATAAGAGTGGTGAGCATGAGCATGCATGTGTTCATTGCTTTCTGTACTTTACTATGTATTTGACGTACTTCAATACTTAAAAATATTAACAAGTAATAGCTATAAAATTTCTGAATTTGTTGAAAACTATAAACTTATATATATTTTATATGTATGTATACATATATATACATCTATCTATCTATCTATCTATCTATCTATCTATCTATCTATCATCCGTCAAGATTTTACCTGTTTCCAAGTAATTTAACTGTATCTAAGGACAGAGATAAAAAATATTTATAAAAATAGAAAAATATTCAGTGTCCAACAAAGTAAAATTTATAATGTTTCATATTCAAAGAAGCAGAAAAAACAATGACTCTAAATCTGGAAATGCACTATCATATAAACAGATCTAGAAATGACATGAATGACATAATTGATAAATGAGGCAATTAAATAAGTTATCCCTTATCTTCAGGAAGCTAAAGGAAAGATAGAGCATGTTAAGAAAATTATATATATATATATATATATATATATATATATATATATAACACACACACATTTCATCTATTTACTTTTATATGTGTAAAACAAATTAAAAAGTAAAATATATCATATGGTATCAATAGGAGGTTACCAACTGAGAAAGAAAAGACAAGTAAACTGTAAGACAGCATTAGAAATGAATAAAAATAAAGCCAAGGAGGGGAAAAAAAAAAACACCTAAAAAAATCTTTGAGAAAGCATCAGAAAGTTGTGAGACAACTTTATGCAGCTTGGGAGAAGGGTGATGAGAGAATTTTAAAAATTTGAATAAATAATAGTCATATAATTTCTCAATTTGATAAAAACTATAAACCTATACATCCAGGGACCTTAATGGATCCCAAGTACAAAAAAATATAACAATCTTTAACTTAGCCTATAAAACCTTTTATCTTAAGGCCTGTCTCTGCATTTGAATTTCACCATTACTCTCATTTCTCAAAATGTTCCTTAGTTCTTATTTGCTTCCTTTTTTCCATACTTTTTGGAACACTGGTTGTCACTTACATGCCTCCGACTTTCTATTAATTCTGAGAGTCAGATCCAATGTGAAGCCTGGTCATGACCACCTTCTCTCAAATAAATGTGCCCCTCCTCAATGCTTCCCTGAGTTATACACATATTTGTGTATAGTGTTAATCGCATGTTTTCTTCTCCATTGGCCTGTGAGCTTCTCTTACTCGTTTAAAAATTTTCAGAACCTAATTAACTTCCTGAGTCAGTAGGTTCCACCCAACAAGTGTCTGAGAAAAGAATGAAGAACATAAGCTCTATGAATCTGTCTTTGTTGTTGCAACACCTTCAGCACCTTAAAATAATTGGAGCTCAATTATTATCTTTGCAGGAAGGAAAGAATTTTTATTAGCATTTGTAAAGTCAGATGTCTACACACATCTATGTGCAAAACATTGTTCTGTGCATGGAAACATGAGAGTACGAAAGATCCATGAGCTTATATTCTAGCCTGCATGTGCATGCATTTGTGTGGATGATTGTGTGTGTATATGTATTTATTTGGTGGTGGGAAAATATGCAACTATATAATTAAATAACAAAGTTAATCTCACATATTGCAAAACACCATGAAGACAATAAAGTATATTGATCTTGTTTGGGATGGGGGTATTTTGAATTGTCATGAAAATCTTCACTGAGGAGGTTGCATTTGAACTTCTATTTCTAGAAAGAAGAAACTAGCAATTCTAGTTTCTTGACCAGGAGCTTTCCCAGTAGAGGAAACCGTAAGAGCTAGAGTCCTAAGGTGGAGACTACATAGTGTATTTGAGAAAGAGAAAGAAGGCATATGTATGGCATTTATCCACAATGACTAAAATCTACCTGTGAGATACTTGTTAAAATAAAAATGTTACCTAGGAACCATCATGCATATGCTGCCTAAAAGCAAAGGTTTGAAGAAAACACCCCCTCCCCTTCACAGTCACCTTGACTATCTAGAGTTTTTAATTTAGTAACCAATAAGAGTACACTCTTTGTCTAATAAATTCCTCACCTCAAAAAGCCTCTCATCAGCATTTTTTATTTTCCTGGTAGTTGTGACACCAAACATTATTAATGTTGTGCACAAATTGTACAGATTATCCTACAAGTTACTGCCAAATGAAAGCTGTCTGGCCCTAAGGCTTTGCTGAGGGAAGATCCAAAATATACTAATTGAAAGAAAATTACTTGATTGCAATTATCATCATATGCTGATGAGAGCAAATTCTGGGTGTGCTACATGTAATTCATTTCATTCTACCTAAACATCCAATTTGGCCATTGTTCCTGACTGTTTGGAAAAGGCATGAAATAAGCTTCTTTAGTTTCTGGTGTCTCTAATCACTGGGGAAATAGATTACAAAATCAGGGTGGAGAACCTGGCGGGCTTCCATATGTATAGGTACTTAGATGCATGCATATGGATCCACTTATAAATACAGCCTGCAGAACATCCACAGTGATGAACCCTGTTAACACATTCCCTACAGACCTCACAGACCTCATTGATCATGAAGCCATCAGGCAGCCTTCTTCTTTTGGTTAGCATGGTCTATTTGTTTCTCTTTGCTGGTGAGTACTATGTATATATTCGAAACGGAATTCTGGATCAGGCTGGTCAATGTCAGCAGTCATGATGTGATATTGTTTATAATGATGATGATGACAATGACAATAAGGATTATAATGATGCTAAAGATGGTTAGTGATGGTGACTGCCCATCACACTTTTAGAAGGAAGCTTTACTTACAAATTAGGTTATTTAATTCTCACTATAATACTATATAAGAGATTGTTTTCTCAAGTTGTAGAAACAGTATTATGTCTCATAGGATGAGATGGCGTGTTCTAGGTCACATGGGCCCCAAGTGGCTAATCTAGAACTTCCAAGCCAATTGTGTTCCTCTCAGCAGACCACAGTTAACAGCATAATGTTACAAATAAGCTTCATTTTTCAGGAAAACCATTTATAATGAGGTTAGAAATTCTCATTCAAAGTCACCTTTAAGAAATTCTTATCTAAAGAGTTTTAATGCCAGAATTTTTCTGAGATGCTTTCTTTTTACTGAAAGCTGAGTCATTCTTGCTTACCCTCTGAGTAAGGAGAGTAAAGAGACAATAGGTAGGTGGGTAGGTAGTAGGTAGGTAGGTAGGTAGATAGATAGATAGATAGATAGATAGATAGATAGATAGATAAAGAAAAAACCCAGGACTGAGATTTTAAGATTTTGCTTCTAATTCTCATTCTGCTACTATCTTTTTCTTTAATACTGAGCAACTCACACCCTTCCTCTGGCTTCTCTATCATCACATTAAAACAGAATGTGAACCTTATATGCTCTAGTACTTGTTTGAATAATAGGTTATGCATAAGTACATTGGCTTTAGAGTCTAAGAGACCTGGGTTTGCTTCCTGGCTCTGCCATTTACAAAGTGTATGCCCTTAGACAAGTTACCCAGAGCTCAGTTTCCTTATCTTTAAAATGGAAATATTAGACTTAATGTAAATGAAATTTAATGCAGTGTTTAAAATAGAGAAATTTGCAAGTTGATGCTGGATATTTTTGATGTCAGTGGGAATAATGATACATGATTTTTTTCAAATGCTCTCAAAATTATTTTGTATTATATTATTATATTAGCAACTTGTTCACCAGCTGTCTTTATTATCCTTTAATCCAATGGCTCCAGATGTTGGAATGCCAGCTTCTTTCTCGTTAAATATAAGCCTTTTTGACAAAGAAGAGATCCAGAGTTTGCCTTCTTTTCTTCATGTATAGCCTAGTTTTAAGGTAATATTATAAAGCAGTAAACAACATATTGGATAAAAATCACATAAATCATAAACAGAAAATGTAGTAGAGAGAGCTTTGTATTGGTCATCTGTAATGTGTCCTCTAACGCAATCGTGTAGTTAACAATGTGAGTGTCCTGGATGAGTTTTCTTCCTTTCTCTGGGCCTCAGCTCTTCACCCATAAAGCAAAATTATTTAATGGAAGATCTCTAAGGACAACTTTGACTAAAAATTCTGGAATTCTTATGAGGTGTGATTAATCACTGTCTGTTTTCTCATTTCAGAAGCTGTGAGCCAAGGAGGCTCTCAGGTAGGTGCTTCTCAGCCGTGGGCATTTCTCCATTAGAAGAGGTTGTCTTTCAGCAATGGTGATGAGGTGGAAAGGACTGTGGCTATTTCATTAACATTTCTGAGTTCATTTGGTTGGTCTGGTGAGAAGGTGGAATGGAAGTACGACACATTGATCTAGGCAAAGTGTCATCGTTAGTACAGATGCATGTCTCTTAACAGTTGAAAATCACCTCCCACTTTCTTTAAATTAGATATCACATTTCCATAATAAGGAGTTTATATGCCGTCAAAACCTTGAGAACAGTATAATGCTTACATAAGTATGGTGTGAATATCGTTTATTTTCTAAATCAGGAGAATTTTGAGAGGGAAAGTAGTACTTATATGAGTTATATCAAGAAGGTAATCATAAACTGAGAGTACCCCCAGCAACTCAGAATGTAAGGTTACTCTAGATCTGAGAACCTTGTTCATAAGACACTACAAATGCTTCATAAAAATGTATATTGCTTCTTTCTATACATACATGTTAGACCTATCAATTGAACTGGGATCTCTAGGGGTGTTAAGACCTAGGAATCTACATTTAGGAAGCTCCCCAATATAGCTTTGTAAGTGATGTAAGCATAATTGCCTACAATAATAAAAACCTAAAGAATTTTTCATTTCCCTTTAGATATACATAGTCTTCTTCCCTAGTCAGATCATTCTGAGTGTGTGAGTGTTTGTGCATGTTACTAAGACAACTAACATGTTCATAAAATATTCTATTTGAACCCCCCTCACTGTGAAAAAAAAGCCCCTGACATTTTGGTATACATTAAAACTGGAGGGTCACAGTTCTAAATTTTACTAAACAGACTTGGGTATATACAGAGAGTATTTGGCAGATTCATAGATACTGAATCTTTTGGTAGCTTGGGTTGGCAATTAGTAATTACAGGATCTAAATTTTTGAGATGGTAATTAGTAATAATAGGGTCTACATTCTTAAAAATAGCTATATACCTTAAAATACAAAAATAAAAAGTAAGGCAGTGTAGCTTATTTTTTGAAATGTAGGCTTTGAGAAAGAGAATATTCAGATTTATATTCTAGCACTATTACTCAGCACCTATTTGATTTGGGGTAACTTACTTTACTTTTATATATTTTGGTTTCTTTATTAATAAAATTAAGTTAATAGTACTTAATTCAATATTATCTGAGTTAATGTACATACAGTCCTTAAGAGTGTTTAGTGCATATTAAATGCTAAATAAAAATAAACTACTAAATTATAGTTTTTATGATTTAATCTTAATTACTGAGTTACATTTATATTTTTATTTTCTAATTGAATATTAAACATTTTTAACAAAATATTTGTAAAGGAATGTAAAGAGAAACAACTTCAGTATTTTTAAGAATTAAAGCATTCAATAAACATCTTCTACACTGATGCCAAAGAATATTCTTTCTAACATTTTAATGTTCTTCACACGTCTCGATCCAAAGTTACAGATGATTTTAACCTACCAAGAGGATAATATTCAAATTATTTAGCCTGACATTCAAGTCCCTTTCCAATTTGTTGACAAAAAGTTCAGCCTCATTAATTCTTACCCACCTATGACCATGTGCATTGACCATACTAGACAGCCTACAGTTTCTAATATGCTAAGTCTTCTCATATGCTTTTGCTATTGCTGCTGTTTCATTCTGAAAGACAATTATCAGTCACTGTCTGAAGGATCATTAAAAGTATCATGTGTACAATATGCGTATTCTCTCATTTGGAAGTACCCTTATGCCCCCTCTTATGTGCCCTGCATCTATGGAAAGCTCCTAACACTAAAATCACTTCTGCATAGACTCCATGAATGATGCATTGCTTTCTCATCTGCATTTCTACTGTATTTTATTAATATACTTAATTCTACGTTTATTACATTTTGTTACCCTTCACAGATACTGTTCTTAGAATGTGAGCTCTTTAAGGTCAGAGAAAGTATTTCCTCTCTTTTATGAATCCTAGTGTTTTAATCATGGCACTTAATTTAATAAATACCTCACTGGGTGGATGGATGGATGGATGGATGGATGGATGGATGGATGGACGGACAAACTGGTAACTGAATAGATGGATTTATTAATGAATTAAAGATTCAGCAATGTTAAAGAATATATAAGAGCCCTGGCTGGTTTGGCTCAGTGGTTAGAGCCTTGGCCTGCGGTCCAGAGAGACCCAGTTCAGTTCCCGCTAAGGGCGCGCACCTCAGTTGCTGTTTGTCCCCAGCCCTGGTTGGTCGTGCGGGTGGCAGCCACTCGGTGTGTCCCTTTCATGTCGATGTTTCTCTCTCTCTCCCTCCCATTCTGTCTGAAAAAAAAAATGGAAAAATGTCCTCAGGTGAGGATAAAAACAAACAAACAAAAAGAATATACTAGAAAACTATCAAATTGAAGTACAATATTATTTCTGCTTTCTAAAAATTAGCCCACTGCAAGCATTTTGAGATGTTCCTTTTTTAATCTATACATTGTACTTAAAACCTACTTTAAGATATATTCATGGAGAGGTCTAAATTGACTTTTTGTTCTTTATTTTTGAATAGATCTTTAATCTTTTCATTTGAATAATTTGACTTTAAAAGGTAGTAAAAGTAGTCCAAAGAAATACCATCTTTCTGTTGCTCAGCTCCCACAAATGTTAAAAATTTACATGACTTTAATACAATCTTCAAAATTAGAAAATTAATATTGATGTGTAACTCTTAATTAGTATATTCAAGTTTGCAAAGCATTTTATAAAATGTTATTCATTGGGTGATCACTGTTCTGAAATATTTAAACATAGAAAATGTCAGGAAGGACAAATACAAACTTGTTAATAGTGCAGATTTTTAAATTTTTTTTTCTTTATTGATTTTAAAGAGAGAGAAAGGGAGAGAGGAAGATAGAAACATTGATGAGAGAGAACATCTATTGGCCGCCGATTGGGCCCACAACCCGGACATGTGCCCTGACTAAGAATTGGACCGGTGACCTCTTGGTGCATAGGTCTATGCTCAACCACTGAGCCACACCAGCTAGGCAAGAGTGCAGATTTTTAGATAAATGAATTATGAGTGCTTTAAATAAATCCCTCTTGTATTGCTCTGTATTTCTAAATGTTCTTTTATGAACGAACATGCATTTTTTGTATGATTGGTAGGTAGAGAGCTAGATAGTTAATTAACAGGTCGGTGATAGAACTATGACTATATATACACATATTTTATTGTCCCTTCATCATAAAATTTGCATCCAAAGGGGAAAAAGTAAATAAAAGCCAACAGGTTTGCACTATTGAATTTTGGTATCAGATCATAAGTGTGTAGGCATGTGGAAACCGGAGCAATTCATTTTTGCCCGAAGGTCATCAGAAAAATTTTACAGTATGAGATTTGAGATGTACTTTAAAGAATGATGTGAAAGGGAAAATTTATTCCAGAATGAAAAAGTAGTAAAGTGTTAAGAAAAAGCAAGTGTTTTCAAAGGCGAATAACGATCCTATTTGTCTAAATTAGTGGGATCCTGCGTGGTCAGAATGGTGTAAAGGCTGAGAAAATAGGCTCTGGAGTTAAACTGTCCTTGTTTGAATCCTGGTTCTACAACTTAATAACTATGTGATCTTGAACAAACTACTTAACTTACCTTTTCCCATTCATCCAACAAATACTTTTCAACATTTGACTTTTGCCAGGCTCCGTTTAGGAATTAGATACAAAGGTGAATCAGATATGGCTTATTATTATCAAGATGTTTTAGCAGTGTTGAGGAGTGACATACAAGAGGAGTATAGACAAATTCCTCCAAAATGATAAAAAAATTATGCTTAGGTATACACTTATGATAAAGCAATTTGGAAGCTTTAAATGTAAAGCCAGTTAATGTAAAAAAAAAAAAAGAAACATATAATAATAGGATATTAATAAAATAATTCCACATCTTTATGATGGAATATTACAGCACAAAATCACTTCTGATTAGGCATAATAGTATAGAAAAGGTAAACAATAAAAAATATATATACAGTGTGACTCTATTTTTAATATTATATATGTGGAAATAACTGTGCATAGAGAAGAGATGGAAGAAAAATAACAAATGCTAATGAAGGGTATCTCTGGGTGCTAGGACTGCATGAGACTTTTACTTATTATTTTCATCATATATTTTAATTGTAATGGTAAGAATGTTCAAAAGAATTATTTAGCATACAGTTAGCATATATTTTTATTCTTTGACAGGGTTAATAATGTCAATGCCATTGATAATAAAATAAAAAAAAAGAACTTCATTTAAATCACAGGCTTTTTGCAGCAACTATGAGAAAACAGCTACAGATGGAAAACCTTGTCCCATGAGCCAAAAACCAGTGTGTGGTACCGATGGACGAACTTACAACAATCATTGTGAATTCTGCAAAGCAGCTCTGTAAGCATATGGAAGCAGATATTGCAACAGCACCCTTAGTTTGGGTCAATGGGGTATGGGTCAGGGAAATTATTTTGCATATCATTCTTATTTAAAATAAGGCAATATTATTATTCCCAGACAAACCTAGAAAGTAGAATAGTTTCCCAGTTCATCCAGCCTGGGCTTAACCCATTTCCACTGTATTTTATTCTGAGCACTATCTTTTTTCTTTCAGGGAAAGAAACGGAAAGCTTGGTTTCAAGCATGATGGGAAATGTTGATTCCTCTGATGCTGCAGTGCCGGATGTGCCTTCGGTTTGCTTTTGGCATCAAAAGATCTATTCCCGGATACCCATTCTCCACTGCAATATATTTCCAACCAGTAATTATCATGAGAGAAAGCCATGTCAATAAAGTTATTTTGGCAGAATTTCTACATTGATGTTCTTTTTAGGTAATAATGGAGTCATCTTTGATTTAGTTAGACCAACTACTCAGTGAAATGATTCAATTTGAAAGTACAAGATAGGGCACAGTACGTCACCATGCTTATTGCATCAGAATTCTTCATTCAGTGCTCTGAGTCTCAATTTTTCACAATTGATGAAGTTGACATCAAGGATAATAAAGCTCCGTTCAAGAAAATACACATCATCTGACACAAAATAGCATTCTTTAGTATATGGTATGTTTGGGAAGTGTTTTCCCTATAGGACACATGGAGCTTGTTTTAGGTCTCAGCTTGTATGCAGAAAAATATAAGTAATAAATGAGACTACATTTTGGTCACTCTGTCATTAGCTGAATAGGTGTGGGACAGCTGATGCCTTTAGTCTAGTTGTCTCTGGCTTTGGCAGTTCACTACAGTGTAGTGCATAAAATATTATAATTTCCTATGTGTGGTAAGTGGTAAAAAAGCTTAGAAGTATAGGTTTATTGGCATGTGGTTGATTAAAAATCTAAAAGTGGATAGAAAAGCCTGGCATTTTTAGAGTGTGTATCGACTATTCGGAGAGACAAAAATGTATACCAACTAACTAAAACATAGTTTGATAAGCTTCTCTTTAAAGACTTCCCAGTGAATGAATTGTTCTATTTATTAATTGCATGAATCATTATTCAATGCTCATGATATACAAGAAACCATTTCAAGCATAGGGTAAAGGAGATTCCTACTTTTAAAAAAATGTTATGCTTTAGTGGATGCACAATAAATATTTTTAGAATATATATATTTTCAGTGACTAATAAATTTATAAAAGAAACAAAATTGAGACGTATTTTGAAGACCACTGGTACAGCTTGGACAGAGGATTTATTTGAAACTGGTCGCTTTGAACAGAATAATGAGAAGGGAAAAGGATTCAGGCACAAGAGTAACAGTCTAAGCAGAAAACAAAACAATCCTGCCCCCCACCCTCCCAACCAGGAACATTGTGAAAAACGGTATCTTTGAGACATTTGTTTCCAAAGTCCCAAATTGAATATATGGAAAAAATAAGATCAGAACTCATACAGGGAACTTTAACATTACATGCTTTAACATAATGCTTCCACAGCAGAGGTCTCTAACTAGTGATAAATAAATAGTTGTGGCTTCTGGATGGTTCTTTAACTCAAATGTACTTATTTTCAGTTAGACGTTAATACTTAAAAATTTTTAAAGTTCACATAAAAAACTGAATTAGCAGAAACTCTTGAAAAATTAGAAGATTTGTTTAGACAGTGCTCTATTCCTTAATAGCCAACGATTGGTTAGTTTCTGACTCCATAGCTCAGTCACACACACTGTGCCCCAGGCTCCACTTCGCTCTTGCCCATTAGCTCCTGGCTCCGGATGGCAGGTAAGGTTTGTAGCTCTAGTTTAAGGCACAACAGTCTTGAGCATCTCACTGAGTACTCTTGATTTTGGGAAATTCAAAATCTAAAATAGCAGTCGGCTCCATCCGTTAGTAATCAGTATTTCTTTATAAGGAGTTAGTATTTGCCTCTTTATCACTTCCGCCAAGTGGCAATATTTCTTTTGGCTTTGAAACTACATACAAAAACATGACTTCCAACACACACACACACACGCACGCACACACACACTACTTGCACTTCCCGTTCTACATCCTCTTCCTTCAAATATCTCCAAGGCTTACCTTCTTTCAATAGATTATCACCAGCAGTCTTAACAAGCTTTATTTAAAACCCTCTGTTTCAACAGTGTCAGCTGACTCTACTGATCAAATTATAGATCTGAATCAAAATAATAATAGTTAACATCCATTGAATTTTCAAGTATTTTTATATGTCACACATTGTTCTATCGGCTTTACATATGTTTTCTAGTCTTTACAACCACCCAATGACATAAGCATTGTTATTGTATTTATCCTACATAAGGGAATCTGAAGCACAGAAACTTGTGACCAGTCACCAAGTTAATAAGAGGCAGAGACAGAATAAAACTCAGGCAAACTGTCTCTCAATGTAGGGAACATTGTATAAACATTTTTTTCATGAAGTTATTAACAATTAGTGTTAAAGTGTTCTGAGATACTCGTGAAAAGCAAAGGAAATAAATAAACCTGGGTATTTGAATTGTGCTTACTAAACCTGCAGTGCTAATTATGAAATATACACCTGACACACCTTGAAATGTCATATTGCACCACAGTGGGTAACATCTGATAAAGGTGAAGAGTTTGTTGTATTGTGTAAGTTCTAATACAGGCAGGTGTTTGGTTTTTGGTTGTTTTTTGTTTTTTTTTTAATTAATTAATTTATTTTTGTTACAGATGTTTCTCCTTTTTCCCCCACTGATTCCCCCCTCCTCCTCCCTCCCCACCCTGTCCCCAGCTTTGTTGTCTATTGTTCATGCATACATGCATATAAGTTATGTGGTTTATCTCTCCCCCACCACCCCCTCTTTGGGGATTGTCAGATTGCACCCCACTTCCACGTCTCTGGGACTACCCCATTCCTCAGACTGTTATATTTATTATATTCCACCAATAAGTGAAATCATATGATACTTGTCTTTCTCTGTTTGGCTTGTTTTGCTTAGGATAATACTTTCCAGGTCCCTCCATGTCGTCTCAAAGGATAAAAGATCTTTCTTTCTTATAGCTGCATAGTACTCCATTGTGTATATGTACCACTGCTTTTTTATCCATTCATCTACTGATAGACATTTGGGCTGTTTCTAGATCTTAGCTATTGTAAATAGTGCTGCTACAAACATGGGGGTACCTATATTCTTTCTCATTGGTGTTTCAGGCTTCTTAGGGTATATTCCTAGAAGTGGGATCACTGGGTCAAATGGAAGTTCAATTTTTAATTTTTTTGAGGTAACACCATATTGTTTTCCATAGTGGCTGCACCAGTTTGCATTTTCACCAGCAGTGTACTAGAGTCCCCTTTTCTCCACACCCTCACCAACACTTGTTGTTTGATGATTTGTTGATGGCAGCCATTCTGACAGGTGTGAGGTAATACCTCATAGTTGTTTTAATTTGCATCTCTCTGATGGTTAGTGATGAGCATTTCTTCACGTTTGTTTGTTTTTTTAATTGTAATAAAGAGGTAAAATTTAGAGTATGGACTTGTGACATATTCTGTGACATTTGTCTGTTTTCTCATTGGATAAATGAAGATAATAATAGCTATATAAAAGGTCATTTTAAAAATTGACTGAGATCATTCATGTGAAGCACTTGGCACTGTGTCTGGTCCTGGGTAAATGTTTAATAAATATTAGTTATCTTTAAGACAGAGTATAAAAATTGGAACGAAAATATTGGGAAAAGATTAGTGAATCAGGATATGAGTGTGACAGAGATGATATGAGAACAAACAGACTTTATGTCCTTGGGCAATCTGTTTTCCCTCTTATAAATGTTAGAAGGATTATGAGGTCTCACATAGCCTGGGCTCATAATTTCAAGATCTTTGAGTCTTCTAATAAAAGAGTTTAGAAAGCAGCCTCAAGTATGTGATGGTATCACATGTCATAAGCTGCATGTATCTGATCTGGCCACAGAGTTTAAATGGCCACGTAGACTCATAATGTGGCCATTTATATTCTGTGGCCATTATCTAGCAAACAAATATATGGAGAATTGGACACCAGAATAGGAATCAAATTCAAACTTTGACATTACTTTTGGAATTTCAGTGATTTTTTTTCTTGATCATCCCTTTCCCATAAATAAAATAAAATATTTTGTCTAGATGTTCTTTTCTAAAGTACTTATAGTTGTGGTACTGTACTATTTAATCATCTGTATATCCCAAAGTTCCTGTATGAAGCATTGAAATAAAACAAAAGTAATCTAAAATCCAGCGTTTGCAAAATGTTGAATGGAAGTATTAACACAATGTTTCTTTTTAAATTAATTTATTTTTTATTGTTGAAAGTATTACAGATGTCCCCTCTTTTTCCCCCATTGACCCCCTCTTCCCTGCTCCCACCCCCTTCCTGCTTTCCCCAACCTAATGTCTTTGTCCATTGGTTGTGCATATATGCAATTAAGTTCTTTGGTTTATCTCTTCCCACCCCTCTGACTCCCCATCCTTCTGAGGTTTGTCAGTCTGTTTCTGACTTCCATGACTCTGGATCCATAAACTTTCTCTTCAAAAATGTAAGTCTACACACACATAAAATTTAGTTTCACTGATTACTGGAACCATTTATCTCAAATTAAAATTGACTATGCTAAAAAAAAAAAAAGAAATCACTGTACTAGAGGCTGGTAGAGTTCCCCATAACCATCATGAGCAAGAACTTGACTTTGGCATCAAAGATGTGGGTTGTTAAGGTAACGTAATATGTAAGGTATGACTCAATGTATCCTAGAGGAGACTCAAAAATCATCCCTGTGTGACTGGACCAAGACCTCTTTCCAACCTGGACTTATACTGATATCTTAGTTCTGGTACTGCCAAAGACAAATTGATCTTCAACTGAGGGATTCACAGGCTGATCTTTTAACCAATGTTTATTTTTCAAGTCTCTGTTTCTAGGAAGGGTATTCCATGCTTCTAGATAGTCAGGAATCGGGTTCCTTAGACAGATATGTTCAAATATCTTTAGTAGGGTAAACTATGTAAAAATACTTATTTAATAACCTTGTGTTTAAGTTTACTCATCAAATATTTAGAGTTTTACCAAAATGTTGTTTTGAGTATTAAATGAGATAATACATATAAAATGTCTTGATAAATGGTAGTTATTTTAGTTATCATGGTGTGTTAATTTGATGTGAAAAAGTAATCATTGTCTTAACAATATACCTATTGCTACAAAACAAATTGCCTGTCACTTAATGGTGTTTAAAAAGTCATTTATTTGCCCACAATTCTGCAATGTGCTCAGGCTCAGCAGAAATGGTCCACCTCTGTGTTAAGCACTCTCAACCTCAGGAGAAATCCAACCCCATGAGGAAACCTGGCCCACCCAGGTGTATTGGGTGCTTCATTTGCATGTGAATAGGGTTTGTTATCTTTTAGCTTCAAGGTCTCTTCCCATAAAAAGCAAGAGACAAAGCTAGGGTGTATGTTTGTAGTCATGCCATCTCAAGGAAATAATTTACTTAAATCCACTTGTGACCTGGGGGTACCAATCTGCAAATAAATGGAACTGCCTCCAGAGATCTGGAACATTTGCTACCTTGCAAAGCTCCCCCTCACTCCAAGCAGCGTGTGCTTGTAGTTTCATTGTGTTGCACCCATCCCAGCAGGCTGAGAGATGGCACTCTGCTCCATATTGTGTTGGCTGGATAGCTCTATTGGAATCCACAATGACTTCAATCATATTTCTGATGTTTCGGTGGAGTTGCTAGAGAGGCTTCTCTGTTTGTCTCACTTTTTCTTTTTCCTTATCTCCCTTTCTCTCTACATAGTTTCTCATCTAACCCTACCAGGCTTTTAAGGTTTAGACCTTAAAATGACATGTTGTCACATCCAGTGCCTTCTATTGGTCAAAGAAAGTCACATGACCAGCTCAGAGTCAAGGGTAGGGGAAATAAACTCTTCTTCTGTAAGAGAGATGGATGGATAACTTTCGTAAAGAGAAATGTGAGGATTTGTCAGTGTTAATCTTTGTACAATATTCTAAAAATATACTCTTTCCTTTAAAATATAATAAGCAAACATTATATGAGGATGACTGGAAGTAAGGTTTGAGAAAGGAGTTTACAGAACATCTGGACTTGAATGGCTAAAAATAATAAAGCTGGTGGTCAACGGGGGATCAACTTGTGTAACTTGTTTTCTCTTAAGTATGAAAATAAGGTTAAAAAAAAGACACTGCAATTACTTATGGGGGTGGTGATAAGAAGGTTTACTTGGGGATGAGAAAGAGATTATATTGCAGATTTTTTCTTTAGACTTTGCAAACTTGCACATCAAAGATTTCCACATACCAATTTAGTCCATAACTATTATAATTATATTCTATTTAACATTATATTGTTCTCTAGACACCACCTGTGTATTCAACTAAAGTGAAGGTGGCAGAGGTCAAGTTTCCAATCTCAAATGCTTACACAAGTGTAATAACAATAGCTAACCTTAATGGAACATTTTAATGTGCGTGTCAGATGTATGCATCATCTCAATAAAAAAATGATGAAATTAAATATATTTGAATTTCAGTTTGCATTGAAATTTTGTGTACTGAATGAAAAAAATTAGGCCCAAAGCAGAAAATAAGTTACCCAAGATTCTATCTCAGGCATTGCTATCCACCAAGATTCTGTGTTCTGAAACTGATGACTCCACGGGGGTGAAGATTGGGTGGAATGATTAAATAAATCAGTCAACTGAGAAACGCCAAAGGGCCATAAGTTAGTTAGATTACCTAGTACTTACCCTTTGGCCTTTTTCTTAATAGGATTGCAAAGTATTTAATGAGACTTGGTCACCAAATGGCAAATTTCCCTCTGACAGTATTGGCATCATGACACTGAATGTAAGAGGCATTGTCTTCCATGTATATGAATTATACCTAAAAGATCAGACCAAACATTCCATTTGTCTGCTGGATTCAGTTCAATCTATTTATGTCTATGTCTGAATAGCCTAATGAATGCCAGGTAGCTGATGCCTTCTATTTTTCATTATGCTCAATCTTTACAAACTTCCTGAGGTTCAAAGAATAAAACTTGACCTGTGCTATTCCCCTCTGTGGAAGAATTGAAAGGAAACATAGTGGCAAAAGTATTCAACAGGAGAAAACAAAGAGGGAGTTCAAAGTTCCCTACCCTTTAACCACATGACAAATGGCTTGTTGAAACTGAGTCAGGTAACTGGACACAGGATGCTATAAAATAGCTCACAATAAAAAATCAGGGTGATTAAACTGCAGGTATGAACTTTTCCCACCAAACCACAAACCACTTAGGACAATTTGACTTCTTCAGTGGGGTAGTATCATAATTTTAGAAATAAGAGGAAAGGGAAATAGAGGGGGAGGGGAGAAGCAAAGAGAAAGAGAGAGGGAGAAGAAGAGAGAGAGAGAAATTAACTTGCATAAGATCACATAGCTAAAACAAAACAAACAGGAAGACAAACACCTTGGGTCATTTCTTCATTGCTGTTGCTATTTCCACCCAAATATAATGATTACTGAAAGAATAGCCTTGACCTAGACTCCTACTCCATGATACTTGAGACAGCCTCTCCTTCTCTCTAATATGTGGCTGTGGTAAGCATTTTCTGAGCCTGCTCCAAGGTAGAATTTCGACGGTTCTCTCAAATGTAAAGGAAGATAATAATGGAAGACAATTCTAAAGGTGGGAGAATTCTTATCATTAAAGGAGAAATTAAATATTCCATTGAAGAGAATTGAAGGATTAAAAGCAATTATTTAAAAGGCCCTTGGGAATGGCTTGGAGAATAAGCACAGAAAAAGAGAGTGCAATGCCTTGTTTAATGCAACAATACCATCAACTGCTCACGGAGGCTGCCTCTGAGACCTCAGAGCATGGCTTCATGAGACTTTATCTTCCCACTGCAATATCCTCACATACAAGACACTCAGTCATATTTGTTATTTATGTATGTCATTTTCAAGTGTTATAACACTGAAGTTAGGAAAGAAGCATGACAATTTAAAAATAATTGTCTCAGAAAAATGCAAATGCAACTATTATGATCTATTTGTTGATATTTGGGAATTTACTGCACTCAGTGCTCTAGATGAGTTTCTGTATGTAAAATTAACTGGCACTATAATAACTCATTTTGACCAGTATGTAGTAGAGCAAGTGTTGAAAAAATATTAACTGAGGAATCCTAGTGGAGTATATATGGGTTTTCATTGTACAATTATTTTAACTTGTCTGTACTTTGAAATTTTTCATAATAAAATTTTGATAAAAATAATGTGATCTTTAAAAGAAATATGTATATATAAAACATGGGGTAAATTATATGGGGTATATTATAAGGGATATATATTCATATATTATTATTATTTTTTTTTATCCTCACCGTAGGATATTTTTCCATTTTTTGTACAGATAGAGTGGGAGGGAGAGAGAGGAAGGGAGAGAGAGAGAGAAACATCGACGTGAAGGGACACATCGAGTGGCTGCCACCCGCACGACCAACCAGGGCCGGGGACAAACTGCAACCGAAGTACGTGCCCTTAGCGGGAACCGAACCCGGGTCTCTCCGGACCGCAGGCCGACGCTCTAACCGCTGAGCCAAACTGGCCAGGGCTATATATTCATATATATACATCCAGCCAGTACAGAGAATAATTATGCAGGGAGAAAAAGTTGCCTTCTTACTATAAAAATTTGTATTTTTTGATGTCTTAAAATTGTTGACTTGGTTAAAAGAAATCATTATCATTTTCAAAATTACCCTTCTAAATAAACTAACATAAAATCAAATGCAATTCAGAACTCCTAAATCTGAGGACCTTAGAATTGGAAGGGATGGTAAGAATCATCTTGTTCACCTCCCTTCCTAAAGCTAAATATTCTTTAGAATTCAAAAATATTTGTCCTGCATTTATATTAGAACAAGTTCTGTAATCTGAAATTATTCAGATCAAATTCTACCATCCTTCTCCCTTCTAATGCACCTTCGGATGATGAATTACAATGTCAATATCACTTCTAAGTGTCTATTCAACTTTGTATTTCTTACTGCCACCAAAAAATTTTATGTTCTTTGGTCTCCAGACCTCACTTTATCGAAGTCATTTTCTGTTGGACATGATTCAATTAATTCAAGTTTTTTTCTTACATGAGGCAGCCATTCTTAAACACAATATTCTAGTGTTTTATAATATTGAGTTTATGACTGACTAAATATCCCAAAGCGATTTTCACATGAGCTTCTGTTTGGCATAATAGCTTGAGACAAGAAGACCAAGAGGGTGATGTTATTCTCAAACATGAAATCTATTGTCTCCTGTTACCTCATAAAACTACATTACCCATCATCATTCCCCACTGGATGTATTCATCACTTACGAATGACCAATATTCAATGTGGTTTTACTTGCTTTTAAAATATAATTTGAGGTAAATAATTGGCACATAATGTACTTGCAGAAAAAGGTCTGGGAATGTCTATTGTGGACATATAAACTTAAAATGTCAATAATACTACTGACTGAAGAGAAATCCCCTCTTAACAATAAAAAAATTGAACACTGAATTTACCTTCCCAGAGGGGCTTCACCATTTCTAATTTTATTTCCCCTGTGAGGAACATATCTGATGGAAGCATATTGAAGTTTGAATATTTATGGGAGTTGGGGCGTGAAGCAATTTAAAATGACAATCCACTCAAGAAGCAACGCCTTCCAGTTTGCCAAAGTTACTCTGTAATTTTTTTAACACAGTGACCGTGTTTAGCAATTAGGGTGGAGAACTTTTCAAATATATAACATGGTGGTGATAAGCATACTTTATTCAGAAAGCATCTACTGAAGTTACCCTGTGCTCTGTCCAACCCAACTGAGTGGGAAACAGCTGGCTGCAACATGAAGGCGTTCATTTTCTTTCCCTTCGTGTTCTGCGCCATGTTCTCAGGTAAGAAAAGTTGCATTCAAGGACTTTTCTTCCAACTCTCAAAATAAAGAATTAGAAATGTTCAGTGATCTAGTAATACCGTGTTGGACATTTTTAAAATGGGAGTATCTATCAGACAGTGAGATGAAAGAAAGTGATGTCAGACAACATGTAGACCAAGGGTATAAAAATAGTGATCGGTGAGCCAACAGTGGATAGTTTGGTGTGGCTGAAGAGAAACAGAGGTAAGGGAATGGGAAAAGTAAACCATTAGACTGCAAAGAAAATTCAGTTTAAATGGATTAGGAGAGTTTGTGAATACTCAAATTTATGTTCCATAAAAAAAATATGTTTTTGTGTGATATCCAGGGCTGTTCGGTCAAATAGAAAAGGATTCAAATCTTGGCTTTTCAATTTTCTACTTATGTTTTCTGGGGTAACTTATTTAACTTATTCTGGCCTCAGTTTTCTCATTTACAGAATGGAAATAATTATCCATTCCTACAGGTTGTTACAGGAATCATGTGTATACCAGCATTAGCCACCATTACTTGCATTCTTCTTAGGTGCCTACCACTCAATATACTTCTCTCTATTCCTTACCTCAATACAGTTATATTGTCTGTTTTCAGAGATGTAAATTTCCAGCAAGCAATGTAAATTTCTCAAGATAATAAGTAACACAGATAAGATATTTCTCAAGGCAATAAATTAGGATAAAGAAAACTATCCCAAGTTATCTCTAAATGACCTCCATTCTTTTCTTATACCCACTGAAAGGAAATAATGAAAGTAAAGTGCCTATGACCTTCAACTGCTTAGAGTTGGAACACAAGAAACAATGATTCTCTTCTCATTTTAAGCATTGCAGTTGTTTTGACATTATTGAGCACAGAGGTGATCAGACACACTCTGTTAAGAAATATCTGTCTGTAGTGATATTAAAAATAAACTAAATAAGAGAAAAGTTGTACAAAGATGTCATTTAGAGAGCTGTCAAAGTGGCAGAGTTAAGAAATAAGAATATAGCCCTGGCCAGTTTGGCTCAGCGGTTAGAGCATCAGCCTGCGGTTCGGAGAGACTCGGGTTCGGTTCCCGCTAAGGGCAAGTACTTCGGTTGCAGTTTGTCCCCGGCCCTGGTTGGTCGTGCGGGTGGCAGCCACTCGATGTGTCCCTTCACGTCGATGTTTCTCTCTCTCTCTCCCTTCTTCTCTCTTCATCCCACTCTATCTGTACAAAAATGGAAAAATATCTTCGGGTGAGAATAAAAAATAAATAAATAAGAATATAAAGCTAAGTGATAGGATTGGAGGAGAAAAAATATGTTTCACAGGAGAGAAAATGCATATAGATAAAATCCCTTACATGATGGCAGGCACCGCATATCTTGTGTATTTCAATGTCTTGCTAGATAACATTTGTATGCATTCAGCAGGCATTTGTTGCTGGAAGAAAGTACATTAATGCCTTATATAGTAGTTATATGGGTCTGGAGAGTGAAAGAGAGCAAAAAAGATGGAAGAATCAGGAATGCCTGTTACAATATACAGCAATGCCAAACATGTATTTAGAGTTTGTAAAATCAGAAGAGGAAAATACAAAACAAAAACTGAAGATAATTATTTTACAAAAATTTAACTTAAAAAGAGGTGGTTAAACCATATTCTCATATCTCAGTTTTCTTATTTTACCTAAATATTTCACCACTAGTTTTTATACTACAAATGTTCTTGTATAAAAAATTATGTATTATTAAAAATTTTATTAAACTGTGGTTTATAATAGTAAAAGACGGAAATAAACTAGAGAAGTAATTGCTAAAAGACTGGTTAAATAAGTCATTGTAAACTTAACAAATGAGATCATATGCAGCCATTGGGGACAATAATTAAGGTGTTCTCTGTATATTAATAGAGAGAGGTTTTCAATGCATATTTCATGGGAGAAAATAAGGAGAAGAGTACTATGTACAAGGGGCTACTAATCATGTTGAAAAATATATTCAACTATGTTTGTAAATACAGAGATATCTGTAATAATACAGAAAATCCTAGTAAATGTAACTGTGTCCTAATAGGGAATTGGGAGTATTGAAGCAGAAGAGAAAGGGAAAGTTACTTTAAACTATTTATCTTTTTGTATCTTTAGGATTTGATGCGATTTGTTTGTATGGCCTTGTATTATTAGGAAAACTAAACAATCTACAACAAAGAATAGATCAACCAATATATTTTTTTCATTTCATCCACATTTTTATTCTCACTGATTTCTACTTGAAATTAGTATTTGTTCATTAACAATGTTCGGTTTTCAAAACTCAGGCATACACTCATTTCTCTGCTAAAAATAAATCTCTTTTCAGTTTTTCTGGCTATAACCTGTACTTTTTATATGTCACCTCCTCCAGGAGGAGAAGCGATAAAAAAATTACCAAGGAAGCTCATGAAAAAAAAATAATGTGAGCCTGAATAAAACTTTTGATGAAAACCCAAATTAAGAAGGTGGCTGAATAAAGATGAATCATCCAATGGAAAAGGCAAAAAAGCCAAAAATAAATGCTTTTACCAAATTCAGTACAAGAAAAGCATATCCAATGGACGAATATTGCACTTAACAGCTCTAAAGCCATTCCATTTGCTTATTCATTGTGGTCTAGACCCTACTCATTTCAGAATAGAAGCTGAACAAATCTAATACATATATAATATATCTAGTATAATAAATCTATCATCTCTATATCTACCTATGACCACATATATACAGATTAGGTGGGCTTCCATAATAAACTTGAGAAGCAGGTAGAGTAGATAAGTTCTGAAACACAGGTTATAAGAAACAGTCACATAATATCTACCATTTCCTTGAGTGGTTTGACCATAAGAGAAAGAAACACATAACCACCAGAGAGAGTATGATTGATTGATTTGATACCAAAGCCTTTATGGGGAATGGTGGACATAATGCTGATCAAAACACAAAGTATGACCCTGGCCGATTTGGCTCAGCGATTAGAGCATCAGCCTGCAGTCCAGAGAGACCCGGGTTTGGTTCCCGCTAAGGGCATGTACCTCGGTTGCAGTTTGTCCCCACCCTGGTAGGTCGTGCGGGTAGCAGCCACTCAATGTGTCCCTTTCACGTCGATGTTTCTCTCTCTCTTTCTCTCCCTTCCCCTCTCTCCCTTCCACTCTATCTGAACAAAAAAATGGAAAAATGTCCTCGGGTGAGGATTTAAAAAAAAAAGAAGAAAGAGAGAAAGTATGTTTTGAGGAAGGAAAACACTGCCTTTGGAATGGGGTTAGTGGGAAAGTATATCAGAAAGCAAATACCAGAGATGGAGAAGAGACTATGAAAGGATATCTCATGCTTGGCAACTTTTGCATCTGGTAAGTTGATGACATTTTCAGTAAGATGACATGGGTAATACAGGAAAGGGTTCTGTGATATGGAGAAAGTTTACCAAAGGCATGAATCAGTCTGTTTAATTAATCAGGAAATCCTTAAAAGTAATTTGGGATAGTACGAAGGACTGGTTCAAATCATTCAAACTCTGATTTCGATATGGGGAAAACTTTCTTGACCCCATGCTTTTGGGAAACCATGTAATATGGTCAAGAAAGAAATGGAGGAAACAAAATATTCAAGTTATGAAAATTAATAGGAAGAAGATTCTGTCTTGAGGTTTGGTTAAAAAAAATCAAGGCGGCATTAAATACATACTATATTTTGGAATGAATACTGTTGATGTTAAGTTCTTGAAGTTAGTAACTTTATTTTATTCTTGTGCTTATTTTATCATTGCAGGGTCTTCAACCCAGACTTTGCAAACAAGTGTTATTAAACTAGAAGAGGATCCAGAACTTGCACTTACCTTAGAGAGAAAAAATAAAGCTAACCCTCAAGGAGAACAAACAGAATCGAATAAGAAAGGTGATAGCAACACACAAAGAAAACCAGGGATCTTTATTCTGGGAGGACAACCAGGGTATTCTCACCAGCCAGTGAAACTAGAGAGTTTTAACCAGCAGGGGAAGCCAGGAGTTTCAAATCAGCCTGGGAGTCTGCAAGGAAATTCAGGAGAATCTAATCAAAAAGGTAGTTTAGAAATCTCCATTGAACCCGGAAAACCAGGATCATCTAGCCAGCAAGGAAAGCCAGGATCATCTAGCCAGCAAGGGAAGCCAGGATCTTCTGGTCAACAAGGGGAATCAGGGTCATCTAGCCAGCAAGGAAAACCACAGCAGGGGAAGCCAGGAGTTTCAAATCAGCTGGAGTCGCAAGGAAATTCAGGAGAATCTAATCAAAAGGTAGTTTAGAAATCTCCATTGAGCCCGGAAAACCAGGATCATCTAGCCAGCAAGGAAAGCCAGGATCATCTAGCCAGCAAGGGAAGCCAGGATCTTCTGGTCAACAAGGGGAATCAGGGTCATCTAGCCAGCAAGGAAAACCAGGGTCAGCTAGCCAGCATGGGAAGCCAGGATCTTCTGGTCAACAAGGGGAATCAGGGTCATCTAGCCAGCAAGGAAACCAGGGTCAGCTAGCCAGCAAGGGAAGCCAGGACTGTCTAACCAACAAAGAAAACCAAAGTCTTTTTACAATCAAGAAGAAAGAAAAAATGTAGGCAACCCTTCGGATGGCAATATGAAGAGTCAGGTTTGTGTTCATTTCTTTTTCTTTTTTCTTCCTTGGTCAACTTATCTCAGCTATTCTCTTTTCCAAGATTTGAAAACGGTTAACAGAATACACTACTAATGACAAACACTTTGCAATGACACCGATTCCATGAAAGGACAGGACATTTGGAGGTGGTCATTTTTGCATACACCTGTGATGATTAGTGAGTATCATGGACTTCCATCTACCTCTCATTTCCTTCTACTCTTTTCCACTCAGACCCTTCCACCTAAACTAGACTAGCTCGAACCCTCTTTACTTGAGCCCCACTTCTACCAGATTTAATGTTCAAGCTCATTTCCATCCCATCTATAATCTACAGACCACTAAGGTGGTATTTCTAAATCAAAAACCTGATCTATCATTCTTTTGCTGAAGGTTCTTCAGAGCCACACTACCTCGATTCTAGATTCTAGAGGATAAAAGCCAAACGCCTGAGCACAGCATTTAATAGTTTTCAAGAATGAACCCCATATCATGCCACTCTGGCTCATCTATTATAAGCATCACACAGAATCCTTTGATTTTCTACAAATATATTCCTAAAACTAATGATATCCTTTATTGTGCCATGTACTTTATTGCTTTATAATTAATTACCTGTCTATTCAGTTAACATGAATTTCTTAAAGAAAGTACCACTTCTTTCCAAACCTGAATCCCCAAATCTCAGAAAATCATAGGCATAGAATGTATTCTCTTGAACCATTGGTCAGATAAGTAGATAAATGCCTGGTGTTTGGGAGCTGTCATGCAAACAGGTACACATCCAACACACCTGTATTGCCTTCTGAGTCCTGCAGTGATTGCTTTCACTTCCCAGTTTCGCTTCCAACTGCCAGCCTCTCAATAGCATTTATGAATGACTCTGGACACTTCACATAATACATCCAAAAGTGTTTTTAGAACACTATCTCAATTAAACTTCATTTTTTATCTCATAAATGTTCATTCCTCAACTCCCTTTCAAATGAAAGCTATGTGTCCCGCTTGGTCTTTTTCTCTTGGCTGGCATGAAATAGTAATCTTTCAGGGACATTACTGCCATCCAGACCTGAATGCCACCACCAGAAGGTTTCTGAGTGTTTAGATTGTCACAACACAGAATGTGGAAATAAAAGTAATGGACTGATATGAAGAAGATGATAAGCTCTAAACCAATGGAAAAGACCAAGGTATTTGTTCCTCTTCCTTGGCTCTAAGAAGACTAAGCCACTTATTGGAAGTCATCACCATTGCATTTAGTGTTTCTGTCCCCATCTGCTGGTCAAAGCTTCTTTATATTCATAGGCTTCTGTCATTCTATAACTTGATTCTGAGGAAACGCTTCAGGCACTGCTTAACTGACCCTGCATGAATCTAGCTCCTGCCTCATTTTATTTCAAGGAACAAGAAGAAATAAGGTTCAATACTGTATGACCATGTGTGTTTGGCCAGTATAACTTTCGCCTAGTTATTATTTCTCAGGTAGGGGAAGGCTTGCCTACAAAGGATTACCGTAGAGGTATTCTGACATGTACTAAAGCAAGGCTCTGGAGTGAGATAACTCAGGGTCTGAGTTCCAGCTTGGGTATTTAGTCCACATATGGCCTTGGGCTTGTCACTTAAATGCGCTGTATGCCTGTGACACAACGGGGCAAGTTGTGCTCTTCTTTCATGTTGTTGCCTGGATTAAACTAAAACAAAGGATCAACAAAATGATTGATTCACTATAACGCTTAATCAATAGTTAATGAGCAATAAATATTTGTTTTCTTACCATATCAGAATTAAATTTAGTCCCCCATCTTTGCCTAATGGTCTTTCCCATTACTGCAGTCTGGCGGGGCCAGCAGCAAGAAACCTACTATAACGACAAGATGTCACTCTATCTACAAACCAGTTTGTGGTTCTGATGGAAAAACCTATGGTAACCGCTGTATATTTGATGAAGCAAAACGGTAAGAGGACTTGATGTTTCTTTGGATCAGCACATACTGTTCTGATCTAAGGGAGTAAAGCATATTTTTCTTTATGTCTTTGTAGTTTCTCAATAGCGCCTTGGGGAATTTGTCCTGAGGGCATGTGTTATGTTCTGCTTTTTAAGTAGAAGGAAATTAATTACTGAGTCATTCATTTACCAAATATTCATTAAGCATCCACTGGTACCAGGCACTGGAGGTGCGATGGTGAGCAAAACACACCAAATTTCCTGCTTCCATGGAGCCTTCATTTTTGTGCAATAGAAGACAGCAAACAAAGAAAACCTGTTAGAGGTTAAAGGGGACTTTGAATCCCACAGGTCCCCAAGCATAAACTACTAAAATATATTTTAAACTTAAATAACAATATTAAGGGCCCTGGCCGGTTTGGTTCAGTGGTTAGAGCGTTGGCCCACAGAACAAAGAGACCCGGGTTCAGTTTCAGCTAAAGGCATGTACCTCGGTTGCGGTTTGTCTCCGGCTTTGGTTGGGGTCCTGTGGGTGGCAGCCACTCGATGTGTCTCTCTCACATTGATGTTTCTCTCTCTCTTTCTCCCTCTCTCCCTCCCACTCTATCTGAAGATAAATGCAAAACTGTCTTTGGGTGAGGATAAAAAATAAAATAAAAAAATAACACTATTAATGGTTGGATTCGATGTGCCATGCCAACCTTTAACAATTACACTTTGTTTATCTACAAAAAAATTAGATGATTATACAGCTGTTTAAAATAGAACATGTGACTAAGAAAGAGTTAGATATCTCAGCTTTTGAAATGAATGTTCATCTATCAAGATAGGAATGAGGTAAAATCATCTCTTGCTTGTTTTTGATAGGTCCATAGTTTATTAAATAATTGGTAAGTTGGTATTGCAGAAATAAATGTTAAAAGCAGCATCCCCTGTAGTCATAAAAGTTAGCATTGAAAGTTAAGCACCCATTTTCTCATTTTATTTATTTTTATTTTTATTTATTTACTTATTTTTTATCCTCACTGGAGGGTATATTTATTGATTTTAGAATGAGGAAGTATGAGAGAGAGAAGGAGAAAGACAGACAGACAGACATCGATGTGAGAGAAACATTGATCGGTTGCCTCCTGTACATGCCCCTACTGGGAATGGAACCCATAACCTAAGTATATGTCTTGACCAGGAATTGAACCTTCAACCTTTTAGTATATGGGACAATGCTCCAACTAACTTAGCCACCCAGCCAGGGCTATTCTCTCATTTTATATATAAAGCATATGGCTCAGAGATGAGAAAGAACCAGTACAAGGTTCTCAGGTTCTCATAACAGTCAATGTGAAACAGGCCAGCCAGAGCCTAGGCCTGCTTTATCCCATGTAATTTGTAAATAATCACATTTTCTCTCTATGGTGGTGCCACAATTACTTGGTCCTTGATTTCTCTCATTATTATTGTGCTTTGTTTTTTTTTTTAGGTTGAGTAATGAAAACCTGAGTCTGCGCCATAATGGAAAATGCTAAGCATTTACAGCAACCAAATTACCTGGATCCTCAAAATTCACTTTCAATTCTCTTTCAACGATGGATTTCCCTAGGAGTGTGACAGAGGTCAGCAAGAGTCCTACAGATACAATGGATCCTACATTGTTGTCAAGTTTATTCTGCTGCAAATAAAGTCAGTTCCAGAGCTGCTTATGATTTCTGGAATTATTTATGTTCTAGACTTCCCCAAACCCTGTGTCTGTCATACATCTGTTTCCAAAGGGCTGCAGTGACCGATACTTCAGGACCTATAATTGCAATTTGTAAGCCCTAGTAGGTATAAAAATCTCAGAATTGCATGTAAAAAAAAAAGATTCCCCACATTAGAAATACTTATGCTGTCGCTCTCTGGTAACACACTAGAGTTTTAAACCACACTCCAGGTGTTTCTAATGAAAGTGATCTTGTTATTAAAGAACTGTGTAGATTGTCTTTCTTTGTTGCTAGTGAAAGTGGGGTTCTTGGGGTACCGCTGGAATAAGCATTTCTGGAGGTCCCCACAGGAGGATGAGGTATGGTAGAAAGCTTTATTTTCATGGAATTATATCCTTTAGTTTGCAAAGTCCCATTTCCCTTAAACCAGTCCTGGAAGAAATGCAGCTGGGGATTCAGCAGAGCTAAAAGCAAAGCCAGTGTCCAAAGTTTATTTTCCGTGGTGGAGCTGGGTGCAGCACAGCATCAAGCTAGTTCCAGTCTATTGTGTATGGAGGCCACATGGTTGTGGGCCATGTGTGCCCCTGCAGCAAGAGAGCCAGGAGCCCAGCGGGCAAGTGAGAGGGAACTTCTTTGTTTAGGAGGTTAAATATCTGAACTCTTCCTGCCTTTGCAGTGTCCATGCCTGCTCTGGCCAATGACCCAGTCCCAGGTGTGACTGACAGGCAAGCACCCTCTCCACATCACCCAGACTTCTCTGGGCATGCCTATAATACTTGCCTTTCCTTGGCTCCTTCCCTGTTATTTAACTGGATTTCTTACAATGGTATCAGTTTCTGGACATGATATGAAACTGATTTAAGATTTTTTTAAGGATGAGTTGATTGGCTTCACAAGATCCTGGGACCGTATGAAAATAAATTCTCCGTGTAATTTTTTCTTAAGGTGTCCAAAGATTTCATTAGATTTTTTATTTTAAAATCCTCACCCGAGGACATTTTTTGATATTTTGTTCAGATAGAGTGTGTGTGGGGGAGAGAGAGAGAGAGAGACATCAATGTGAAAGTGATACATTGAGTGGTTGCCACCCACACGACCCAACCAGGGCCGGGGACAAACTGCAACCAAGGTACGCGCCCCTATTGAGACCCAAACCCAGCTCTCTCTGGACTGCAGGCCAACACTCTAACCGCTGAGCCAAACAGGACAGGGCATCATTAGATTCTTAAAAGGATACATGAAGACAGATAGATTTTTAAAAGATTAATCTACAGATACAGAAATGTACAAATTTAATGTATTTATCTGAATTGTTCTTTT